GACGTTCGAATTACAAAAATAAAAAGGCGAAAGAATTTTTCTACCTGATTATATTGATGGATATTTCAAATTTCACATTTCTCGCAAATATATCCATCGTACAAGTTACAAGACGTCTCCAAGCCAAGAAGGAATATCAAACAAATGAATGTACACGTTGATTTCTGTATTGCAAGAGAGCCATGTTTAAAGCTTTCAAAGGCACGCTGAATGTAACATTTCAGCTCCCACCACAGAAGTATTGGTACATAAAAATAGACACAAGACGACGTGACATGTTACAAACCGGACGCATCCATTTAAGTCTCTTAGTAGGATGCCCAGTCAACAAATTTGATCGGTTTGGGTTAACGGAATAATACACGGCTATATTTTATATCATTGGAAAGAAGAGGACAAGCCTCGTCGAAATATTGATGCGTCGTTGTCTACAGTGGTCACTATTTTCTTAAATTTGGGTCAAAGGTCAAATCTAAAATTTCAAGGAAAACGTAAAGTCACGTTTAGACAGCTGGCCACCCCTACATATTTGCGTTTATAGCAAAATAAATTCGAATAATTCAAAGGATTATAACTATAGTTTCTATATTTAGGACTAATTTTATAATTTTATGGCCAAATATGGTTCGAGATTGACATTTGCACTTATAGAGTGCATATTTACAATTTTCATTCAGCTGTTAAATAACAGTGACCTTGACCTTTTAAAAGTTCCAAAATCGGAATTTTTACACAAGATTCGGTACAAGTGATCTTTAGAGATGTTTTTTTAGATATTAACATTTATAAGTTGCCCACCCAAAATGTTATTTTTTCCGTCTTTTGATAGAAGGTGTTCGTCATGATTTTTTGGGTAAATATCCAATTTTCTTTTGGTGAGCGTGGAAGCACATCAAATAGTACTTAGTTCCAAAACTGATAAATGTTAACGCAGAATTGATTGAATTAGCAGGTCTGAGTATATCTTTGCTTTACAGAAATAAAAAAAAAAAAAAAATGCAAACGGTGAAAAAGGGGGAGGGTTTGTATTACAAATTATGAAAACAAAATGAGAATTAGAAACAGCAGGCTAATCACTCCATCTTACACACTTATATCAAGTGTAATGTACATGACTTATAAACATAAATTGGCCTACAACTGACAGGAAGTTAAAGATTATCTACAAAAAGAAAGTTTTGTACAGCAGCGATGTATTTTACAAACACTTATAAACAACATCAACTAATTAATATATATATATAGATCTCTGATTTCGTTATCCTAATTTGAGCTTATATATAAGAGCATGCGAGTTAATAAAGATCAGAATTTTAATAAGAGTGAAACAACATAGCAAGTCGCAGAATGCGAGTCATACAGTATACAATCTGATGGTGGTGGCGGCAACACCGTAAACTATTTGTATAGTTTTATATTTCTGTTAAGTGACTGCTAAAAAACTGTATAGCTTTTTTAGTCACGTGAATATCTCAATTATCATGAGTTCTAGGATAACTATATTTGGTTACTAATATATCATGGTATCCTTGCAAGGTCTACACGACCCGACGTCAGACATGATTCACCTGACCTCGACCTAATTTCACGGATCAGTGAACAAGGTTAAGTATCAGTGGTCAAGTCCGTACAGTCTCAGATAGTAGTGGGTTAAATATATTTGGTGTATGGAATGGTAACAAGATGTACATGTCTTTGTGGCAGAGTTCATCTGACCTTACCTCATTTACATGGAACATTGATAATGTTAATTCTATGTAATACTTGTTGTATAATATAAAAATTAGATGTGGAAGCAAGCAATTATAGGCAACCATACGGACTTCGACAATGTGAAAAACTCATATCGTATGGTCGGCTATAAAAAGGACAGTTATGAAAAAAAATGAAAGAACTCATTTGAAAAAAAACTAACGACCTGATTTATAACAAAAGCTAGTTTTTACGGTAATGATGTTTATGGTCATACTTTTCTCAGACTTTTGATGACGTCCTTTCATTAGTTTTCAGTAAGGTAACACCCATTTGATTTCGAAAGTAGGGAGGGAAGGAGGATTTTGAAAATGAACTGAAATAATTGACTTTGCACAAGACAAGATGAGAATGAACACTCTGCAACATGAACTGCAGGATAGTTGAGGATATGAATGTGTACAAAAGTGAAAATAAATTGTCGCGTAGCAAAGCAGCGCAAAAAATAAGCATGCGTAGCAACAGATGAAAACAAAAATGTTAATCTGGAATTTTTTTTCCTGTCGCCAGCCCCCTCCCTTTCTCCAGAATATAAAATGTTCTACCCTAACGGCGAGTGCTATTAGATCGGTACTTTGTGTTTTTTGTTTTCATGTTAGTTGTTTTTGTGCTTCATGCCGATTTGATAAGTCAAGCCATTTCAAACTGTTTTTCATCAGTTATTCTTATGCTGTGTTGTTATACCATTGTCAAGGTCAGGGGAGGGTTGAAGGATCACAAACATGTTTAACCCCTCTAAATTCTGTATATGCTTTCCAAAATCAGGAGCCTGCAATTAAGTGATTGTCGTTGGTTGCTGTCTGTTGTATCTGGGTTTTTTTTTGTTGTTGCACGAACGGTGGTATATTTTTGTTGTCGTTCCCACCGAGAGGGATTTAGGTCGAAAACATCATACAAGACTTTTGATGTGCCATATTTCGGGTGTGAAACGACACCAACCGATTTGATTCTTATACTACAATTATAACAAAATATCTATTCAATAAAAAGTTTAAAGTTTTGAAAAACAAACACAAAACAGATTTCTCCGAACAAAGTGACAATCTACAAAGTTGGCTGGCTATACACAACAAAAAAAGCAACCACACAACAAGCAAAAAAGAGAAATGTTTTGATTGACCACTGTCCTTGTTAATGACCTAATAGTGTAAGCAACAACATTATTATGGCACGAGATAATCCGTGTTTAATCAATACCAAAATGTTGACTTAATTTGTGTTTTTAATTGCTAATTTCTTCAAAACGATTTTTATTTTACGCATGCAATTTGGCACACACATGCACTGTGTCTTATTGCTTTAATCAGAGTAAAAAATATTGTGATGATACACGTAATAATTTTGCTTTCGATGAAAATAGGGTAAATTTCCGGTAAAATTTTACTCTTACTAATATGCTGAAATTCTTATATTAGAATCACTTAAAATACTTTCCGATTTCGTTATATGATATATTTAATATATAAACTATATTATAGGTACTGTTTTAATCACCAACAAAGAACGCAATAATTTTATTTTTCATGTTAAAGATTCCCCGTACAATACGGCATCTGGTGGTACCTGTAAAAACACGAAATTTAGAAAATCGTGACCACGGGAATTTACGACGACAATCATGATTGTAAAATATAATGATTTTCCTATAATGTGCAAAAAAATTAGCCGTGTGTTATCCGTTAACTTAAACTCGTTAACTAGAGGACTTTTTGGACATTGGGCACCCTACTATCTCTCTTTTGCAAGAATAACTGAAGCCACAATTCATGTCAAAATTTCATAAAGAACCTAAACAACACTATTTGATAGATGTTTAAGCTACATATGTTTAGATGATATATTTTCTGTAATCAATACAGGTTTTTCCTAATTATTTAAATGAAGAAAACCTACATAACCTCATTCATACTAATTCAAACATATGTACACTTGTATTCCTTGATTATCAAATGTCCCTAACTTTATGGTTATCAGGACCATTTTTCCCTTTTTATTGTGGATTTTTCCTCCCGTGATGGAATAGTTCATTTTTATTGAGGATACTTTTCTCCGTTTGTTCGATAATCACGTATATGCAGGTTTTATATTAAAATAAACAGGATATTGTTGTTGCACAAATCGTTATCAAAGGAGTATGATTCCAACTGAATGAATGTAATAAATAAAAAGTCGAATTTCTCATCCAGATTTTATGATTACATTGTTTATAAATCTAACAAATATATGAACTGTTCTAAAATCTAACTCTTTGGATTTATAAACTTAGTTATGGAAAATCTGTTTCACAGATGACGACAGATATGTTCTAATTGTCATAACCACAATCCCGTCCTCCTTTCCTCGAACATGAACTACAGAATAAGACTTTTTTACCGGTTTTATTTTTACTTATAGAAGAACACGACGGAAACCACCTCGTTTTTCTTTTCTTGTCATGGCATTGTCAATTGTTTTCGACAATGTTTTAGAAAAAAACAAAATACGTATCGATACGATGAACACAAGTCAGATCTGCTTATCCTTCCCAAGCACCTGCGATCACCCCCGGTTTTTGTTTAGGTTCGTATTGTTCAGTCTTTGGTTTTTCTATATGTTGTGTTTTGTATACTGTTGTCTTTTGATCGTTTTTCTTTTCTTGCCATGATATTGTCATTTGTTTTCGACTATATAATGAGTTTTAACTTCCCTATGGTATTTTTTTCCCTCTCTTTTAGTAATAGATTAACCCATGTTGTGTTTGTTCAACAACTATGTTAACCTTTTCATCAATGATAATCTGCTTATTAATAGTTTGAGGTAATACTCAAATGTTTTTTTCTTGGCATTTGCCATGTTTGCACTGGGTCGTGTCTGTATGAATTCTTCTAGGATAAAAAAAAATTAAGGATGATAGCATGTCTTTTTAGCAGGGTATGTATTTTGAGCTATCGTAAAGTTATTTTAAGCGTTTTTCAATTCAATATAATAATGTTCATTTAATTTTTTGTGTTTTGTGTTCCATTATCCCATAATTTTAGAAATGCTACTATTTCCTATTCTGATTTTCACTGCGGTTTTTAAAAAAATTCAATACTTTGTGATTCCTTGATATACATATTGTATAGACACCTTTCTTGCTGAAGACTATATGTTACCCTCAAGATATTTTAGTAAATTTTTTTGTCATTAGGTTGCCGTTTCATTGATGCTTTCCACATCTCTATTGATTCAGAAAGATAACTATATGGAGGTAAAAATGTAATAACAAACACTGCATAAAAGTTTATTATACGAGAAAACAGATGTGGTGATAGTTTATAATGGCATTGTAATTAAAAGTTCTGTATTTTCATCATTTCTATTGTTGACCTCAAAGGAAAATCTGGTAAAAGTTTTGTGTGACAATTTTAGTATGTCTTGCCTGTTCATTATTTTTGTTGACATATTTTTGTAAAGTTAACGCCAAACTCAAAATCACTGTAGTTACTTTTTCTCCCACCAAACGCCTTTCTCTATGGTTTCATTTTCATTGCCAAAATTGTATCTGAGGTTCCTAATTTGGAATGCAATGAAGCTTTACAGGGCTATAACCAGCTACACATTTGGGATAACACAAATCGTTGTATGCTTCTGTTCCATCCCTACATTTTTGCCTTTGTTGAAAAGTTATGCGTATACCTGCACCACCATTTGGGGTACAAATACAGCATCCACTTGCAAAGTATCCTTTTTTACATTTTGGATAGCAAAGAAGTCCATTTATCTCTTCGTCTGGTCCACACCCTTGTCGTTGGAACAGTGTCACCTTAATACCTACATCTGTTTTTCTGCACGTGCATCCATCGTCATGGTAACCACTTTTACATCTGTTACAGCATCCAAAGATTGTGCAACAACATCCCTTTCCATATATATGGGCATCACTCCAACAACTGGTACCGTCATCTCGCATTCCAGATGGACAAGGTGTTTTATCTGGCAATCGACCCGCACCTCTACCATAGCTATCTACCCAACAACTTTCTAAATCGTCTCGCATATTAGGGGGACAATGTACTTTAATCTTATGACCACCGGGTCCTCTGAAATATGGTGATTTAGCACTTTCCAAACAAATGCCTGTAAATCAAAACACGTGTGAACTATTTTGTGGCAGAATAAAAAAATCTTAACACAAATATTCAAAAACAAAAGAAACCAATATGTATGTTGGCCTCCAAACGTCGATTGTTTATTTGTATCGTTATGTTGTTCACAGCTATCAAAAGACTGAACAATAAGTTATTGAATCGGGTTCTTTCGGTTAGTTTTCAGACTTATTCTTAACGGTTGATTCAGTTATGTTCAGACAATCCTATAGCAGTCAATTAGGATATGTAAAGTCTATAGTCAGACTGTTCTGTAGCTGTAATTTACCTGTATAACGTACTGAATGTGTAATGACATGAAGTTCCTTAATAAAATTATTCCCAAAGGGAATAAATCTTCTTGAATATAGGAAATAAATATTTGTTCTTAACGGAAAAAAGAATATAGAATATCTGTTCCAACATGAACAGGTATCATAGCATCATTTATAACAACGTTTCCAGAATACCTGCGGTAAGGAGGAACACATATGTGTTCACAAATTGTCCGAAAAGGAACTAAACAGATCTGGATTTACAACAGGAAAACATCTGAAAAATCACTTAAACTCTCAACAAGACTTTTGATTGTGTTTTTCAGAATATTCAGACGATATTAATATCAACATGACCGTTACAGACTAAAGTTTATTAGTAGTTGTCTCATTGATGTATATCCCAAGTTGCCATTGTTCGACAAACAAAATAAATTTCAAAATCAAAAGGGAGTTTTAATTCACTAGATAAATATTCCATGCATGTTTTTTTCTGAATAAATGTAAGCAAAGCAGATAATATGTAAAAGATAATTTGTAGTTTGACGTCTTAAATAATCAAATATAAATATGTATAGCAAAATATGTTTGCTTTAAGTTGACAAACTACATGATTTGTATGGTTAATGGAGGTACAGATATGATAAAACAATATTCTATTTTGTTAAATTATACATTCTCATAAGTTAAGAGATGATTAAAAAATATGCCGAATGAAGAATTGCACGATTGATAAAATATATTAACAAATATCTAGCTTTTATTTTTTTTTGGTAAATGTGCGATTAACTTCACCATGTTCACATTGAGCTACAAAAAGAAAAAAAAATGTCCTCTTGCATGTAATCATGTATGATACGCGAAATGTGATGTAAAGATACCCAACGTTGTCACAACTTGTTCCAAGCACCAAACACTTTAAAGCAGCATTTGTTCTATAAGGAAACATTCAAATCAGTATGAGGAATTTATCAAGCGTTCAAATTAATGAACATAAGATCGCAAAATGTCAGTTTATCAGCGGAACATTAACTTGTTTCATGTTGTTTAATATCATATGGTTGATAATTGTGGATAAACGATGATGAACAACAATAGTAATGTGTCAAAACAATGATAATAGTAGTGACATTGCGCACGATGTTGGTCCGAATTCCATTTTCCATAGATAACCATACAAAAATCAAAGTATTGACTAGTCAGCTTGTTAAAAATATAATGATTTTTGGTTGAATTCAGCTAGGCTTGAAAATAAAGAAAAATAAGAATCAAACTTTTAAATACCGAAAATCATAACACTTTATTGCATCATTTCTGCGCCAAACATCATGTCCAAAGTTCCGTGTTGTGTGCAAAACAACAGGGTTTTGTGTCTTTTATATCGTATTGTTTCCCCGATCATCGTAAAACTTGACAACAACATTGCTTTTGTTATAGTTATTTGCATGTTAAAGCAAAATCAACAACATTGAAATCGTAAACCGGAAAATGTCATGTTTGTTAACGAGTCTAAAAGAATGTATAAGCATATGCAAGGTTAGCATATATTGGGTTTGTGCCTTCATATCGTGAAATTTGAAAAGCTGAGCGGAATAATATTTGTAGTATAAAAATACATTTACTTTATTCTTGGTTCATGATAATTTCTTGCCAGAAACATGAATATAATCAATAATACAATGACTTCAAAATGTATAGCCATCATGTCAAAATGAAACAAAACCTTACCTTTTTTTTACAATTGAGCTTTTGAACGGCTGTATATCAAATAAGCATGGTTAGATCATAGAAAATTAAAAATGGTGGTAAGCGTACCTAATTTTTTTTTATTTCAAACTAAATAGTTTATAATGTGTTTCGTGAGGAAACAAGACTTTTAGAGCGTATCAAAAAATATAGCCGTTTCGTCACAACGTACGCAAAATTAACTGTTGTCATGGTCGTGTTTTGAAATTAATATAAATGTAATCATTTGATTCCAGTTTAATTCGAGAAAAAGTATAAAATACAACATGTATAAGTTGAAATCAAATGTTGATCAAATGAGATTTACAAAACATATCGCTATCATCGTTTTTGAGTATATTTTGTTTTGTCTATAGGTTTCAAATCGTCAAAACAAAAAAATTGAAAGCAGAAAAAAACAAAAAGAGAAAAATCTTTGCTAAATTAATTAAAAGAAAAGACATGCATGACGCCACAAAAATACGGAAATGTGAAAAACATGACTCACAAATAAGTTATTAGCCTAGTATATTCAGATCTTTTGCGACAAAGAAAGCATGGCGAAATGATCAAAAAATTTAAATGAAATGAAACTGATAGAAATGCAATGAAAGGAGTATATACAAAACTGAAGTAGGAAAGTTTTTTTAAGGGTCAATTCAATATTTGATTTATATTCAAAAAATCTGTTTAAATTTGGAAATTAATGTATGCATTAATACAAACCGCTTGCATAAGTAGAATACTGATGATGAAACTGAAAAGCTGACAATTTCTGTAAATGAATACTCATGAAAAAAAAAATAACCACTTTTAGGAAAAACTGTCTATCTTTTTCAACGAAAAACCAAAATCATGTAATCATATTCATTACAGCTAATCAAATATAAACTTAAACGCTTGATACGTTCTTTGGAATAACGTCAAAATTTTCTTTTTATAGGTAACACTAAATGGTAGCAACTTCGTTGGCAACGTCAGACTTTTAATTTACCAAGATTGGCATATCCAAACGTATTTAACTCTGTTTTTATTTTTTTTTTTATTTTTATGTTATTTGTATGTTCTAATAGGATTTAACAAAACAGAACATAGGTGATCTACTTTTGTTTTTAATTAAAAATTGTGTGCCCGAAATTGATGATTACATGTATCCAATGTGTATATTCCGTTCAGTTCGTGTTTTAATAAAAAAAAATATAAAAAAGTCCATTTTGGCAAATTTAGTATAAGTTACATATAACTTTAATACATTTAGGAACTATTGCAATGCAGTATATTGTTAATTAAAAAAAAATTGTTAAAAAAGTATGCATACATACCTAATACCAAGATGACACCAAGCCTCAGCATTAACATTGTTAAATAGTTTATTTGTCGACAGTTGGATGGGCAAAAATGCTTTAAACTTTATAAGAGCTTTACATTTATTTTATAGGCAATGCAACATCCACATGAACATTGATCAATTTCAATCGTTGAAACTCCGCCTTTGTCAGCATTTAGTTACAGATTCAATACTTTTTAGCTCACCTGGTCCAAAGGGTTAAGTGAGCTTTTCTCATCACTTGGCGTTCGTCGTCCGTCGTCCGTCGTCGTCTGTTAACTTTTACAAAAATCTTCTCCTCAGAAACTACTGGGCCAAATTTATCCAATCTTGGCCACAATTATCATTGGGGTACCTAGTTTTAAATAATGTGTCCTATGACCCTGTCTGCCAACCAAGATGACCGACATTGCTAAAAATAGAACAAAGGGGTAAAATGCAATTTTTGTCTATTATTTTGAAAACCGTTATTACTAGAGAAAATCTAACGAAACAGAAATGTTAGAATGTTGAGCTTTACCAATTGTCTGTATGCGTCAAAACGGTCAGACGAATTCTTAAAGGAGTTATCGCCCTTAAATGACAAATTTTACCATTTTTTTATTTTTTCCTATTATCTTGAAGACTATAATAGATAGAGAAAAACTTTAAATTGCAAAATTTGATCAGCAAGACAAGTTCTACAAATAAGTGAAACATCGTCGAAATCGTCAGTCGACTTCATTAGAGTTATTGCCCTTTGATGACGATTTTTACCAATTTTTTGCGTTTTTTTGCCTTATATCTTAAACATTATAATAGATAGATAGAAAGTTAAGGTAGTTCGGGTGTCTGAATTTTCTCGCCGTCTACGCAGAATGTTCCGCAATGATATCGTTAGTCATGCTTATTGTCGTAATTTGCCATAACAATAAAATTAGATTTTTTAAATAATCTATTTTATTTAAATACATTGAGGAAGAGTTGAATATTTGAAAACTGCAATTTCATAACTTTATAAAGTTTATGTTGCAATTTTCATTGTTGCAAATGTAATTCCGTTCTAGAAATATGGAGCATGTTATTGACATCGGGGAAGAGAGAAAGACAATATAATTCATAATAATCGAACACGAGAACTGCTTTTCATGAATACTGTAATGCAGATCGAAAATTACGGATAACGGTTTTCATTTTGGTAGCTCATAAAGCAGTTTCACCCTTGTCTCACACTAGAAAAGGTCCTGAAAATATGCGAAAGATGAATGTGAACAAAACATGAAAAGGGGAAAAAACTGTAAAGAAAGTATATTAAATCATCTGCTAATGAATTGAATACGAGTGCTCAAAGAGCGATTCATGACCCATGAAATATCATTTGCAAACAAAAAGTTAGATGAGATGATTTTACTGCAAAATCCGTGAACAACGAAACAATGAATCTTCATGCTGGAAAAAAACTGTTATACTTCCAAGCAGGAAAACCTGTCTTGTAATAAATTTTTATTTTTTTATTTTCATAGTTTATTAGGTTCTTTTCATGATATTGCTGTTGACTGGTCAGCATTTGGTTAAAATCCTGGGAAACAAGTATAAATTGTGAATTATAATAAGTCGTTAAAACTAGACACATATCAAGCAGTGTAGAATATTATAATATAGGTTGAAGTTTTATATTAAACAATTAAAATTTAAACATTCAATTTACTATTTTATTGAAAATGCATTCACTATGCAGAATTAATTATAATTGATAAAGTTATAAATGTACCAGTATGTATTTTACTAGCGCAGTACACTTTTCATGGACAGAAGATTAATGTTTAAAGTATATCAAACGATAGAAAACTGGTATCTCAAATCTCCCAATTAAAAAAAAAAGATACCAGTTTTTTTTAAAGTTTAATATGACATGTCGACTTAAATATCTGACAATTGGACTTAAATATCTCATTGAGTGGACCTAGATATGTGCAATGTCCTCTTAAATGTAGGAAGTGTTTAAAAGTTTCTTTATTTTTACCTGTTTACTTTAAATATCCACCAGAGACCAAAGAACAATGATGTTAAACAGTACAAGTCACCTTTAGGCCTTCAACAATAAGCAATGTCCATAATGTAAAGTCAGCTAAACAAGGCTTGTGAATGACACTATTTGAGGCATTTAAAAAAATTAAATAAAAACCTGAAATCTCATTGGAAAAGCTTCACTCTGTGGAATTTAAGCAAAATCCAGGTACTACATTGTTTATGTTGTGAAAAAGCATTGTAGGAAATTTAGAGATTCTGCCAGCTATATGAATAAGTAGTTACGTCTGTTACGAAGACGTATAGATATATATATATTATATATAAAGACATTTCCCTGAATCAAATTTGGTAGCAAATATTTACTAGTGAATCAAAAATTCACGTTTATTATACAAGTATACTCTTTTGGAGAAATTAACATTTGAGATATTACTGATGCACATATTTTCAAGTTTTTAAGATTGAAAATTGTGGTACATCATATCTATAAATGAGAAATGTCTATCATTCATTTCTTCCTAAAAATATGACTGGTGAAGAAAAAGGAGTAATTGTCCCTCTATATCCATGTGATATCTCAACAAAAGATGCTGAAAAATTATTTTTTTCTGGAGTTAATTTGTTTTTTTAAATGGCCGGTAACGGGTAACCCCATCTTTTTTTCTATATATTTTGGATGAACGTACTGTTGGGATCAAATGTGCAAAGTTTCAGAAAAATCTGTCATTTTTATTTACACCCCCATACCATTTTGGAGGTGATAACTATTTTTCAATCTTTGCACTTTTCAACCCAGATGCTACCATCTATCCATGTAAGACAAGCTATGTTTGTTAATGTGCACAAAAGAGAAACGAAATGTATGGAGACTGCCTCCACAGATTATGGTAATCAATGGTGGAATCACCTAAATAAATAATTAAAAAAATAAGTGAAGTCCTATGGAAGCTGCACATAGGACATATGTGAATTATGACAAATTACAATTGTGAAAATGGTTTTGTCCATGCTTCACCATGCAAGCTATTAAAACTTTGTAATATATGTTTTGTGGAAGGCTCTATGGGGTGGGTAGGGGAGGTATGTTATTTGGAATGAGTTGTACAGAGGAGTCTGTGGAATTTGTAAATATTTCAAGTTTGATTATATATAAGGGACTTGTCAAAACATTTAGATAAACTATTTGATTACGTTGTTGATTATATAATAAGTCTCTGAAACTAATCAGATTTCGTATTTTTTCAAAGGTGAGAAAAAATCCTGTGTGTGAATGCATCATGATCAGATATACATGAATGTCAAATATATGTATCTCTCTAGGGAATACAATATTAATGATAACTACATTGTATATTTCGAGGCAAAAAAAATATGATAGAGTATGTTTTTTTTTTAAATTTTCAAAATATATGAAAATGGTATGAAACTGGATATCACGGCTGCTTATCCCTTCAAAAAAGCACTAAAGTGCCCCTTCCCCCCCTCTACACACACATAATTGGAAGATAGTTAACCTTGTGGTAGTAAGAACCATCGAAGCCTAACTGCTGAACTGGATAAGCAAATGCTTATGTTAATCTATGACTGGTCTATGTATTAAATGTCTTATTTACACCATATCTCATGGTTGTCCTCCTCAGAAAGGAGATATATATATAGAGTACACATATATAACTAAGTCCTTGTTATACCATAAAAGACCACAAAGTCAGTTTGTAAATAAATAATAAATTACTCTTATCTACAAATGATACTTAAAATGATCCTTTAAGTTTTAAATAGTTGTTACTAATGGAAATTGCAAGCGACATGTTGATGACATTTGAAACGGAGTAATAGCTATGTCCATGTTTTACCATGGGAAATCCCTAAAATCAATTTTGGTTCTGAAAATAGTACCTAATTACCCTTCCAAATTTTATTGAATTCCCATTGAAACTTTTAAAGATATGTTGATATCAAACTTCTCCATTCATAAAAAATGCTTTTTTTTTAATTGTTACTTTTAGTCTGTTTCCGTGGTAAGCCAGTCATAAGAAATAATTTTTTTTATTTCTAATATTGCCGGTGACCCCCAAATTATATTCCAATTTTATAACAAAGAGACATCAAGCTTTTCAGTATGAAATAAATAAGCAATTTCTGTCATTTTTTTGCTGTGAATATTCAATCAAATAGGTTTTATGTCCATTTTCCTTATACATGCCATATATCCATTGAGAATTTAGCCTATTTGCACTCATTTTCAGAGGTCAAAAACAATCCTTTGGATGGCAGGTGACCCCTAAACTGTATTGTATTTTTTCAATAACTATGCAACATGGTTGAAGTCCACAAAGTATAGTAAAATTCTGTGATGTTTTTTCTATACCCCTCGAACTACCTTATATAAGCAAACATTTTCAGCAAGACAATATTTACAATTGAGGCAATATAGAGGAAATCGTCTGACGACTCCTTTTTGGAGTTATTGTCCTGTAATGACGAATTTTACCATTTTTTGTTTTTGCGTTTTGCCTTATATGATAGAAATTATAATAGATAAATGGACACTTTAAATCACAAAAATGATCAGCAAGGCAAGACCTACTAATAAGTCAAATTTTGCCGATATATTTAGTAGACTGTCACTCTTTATAGAAGTAATTGCCTTTAAATGAGGATCTTTTTTACCCTCTTTTGTTTTTGAGCAAAAACTAAAGAAGATAGAGAAAAACTATGTCACTCTTTACAGAAGGGATTGCCCTTAAATGAGGATTAGTTTTACCGTCTTTTGTGTGTTTGAGCAAAAACTAAAGAAGATAGAGAGAAACTGAACGGACTAAATGATCAGCAATTATACAAGATCAACAACACAGAGATATTTGTAATGAATTCTATTCTAGTCTACAATGTTGGAGAATGTCCTTTGTTGAATAAGCACATAGACCAAGGTGAGCGACACAGGCTCTTTGAAGCCTCTAGTTTGTTTTTGCAGTGCTGAATTGTGTATGATGCAAAGGAGAATTGTAAATCAGGCATGATGATTGTTGTTTGGGTTTTAAATTTTACTTTGTTTTATAAATGTTAAGA